ACTCTAAAGAAAATACTAATTTACTACAATTGCAACTCAATCTCTACATCTAAAGACAGTCTAATATTTATATAGCTGCAACGAGAATCAGAATACTGCTGCTGATATAAAATTAATGAAAGCTTAAAAGTCTTTGTACTGCTGCTATAGCTGAAGAGCTTAATACAAAAATACGCAGTTATTCATAGCTTGCAGCCACAGAGCCTAAATATCAAAATACATGGTCTTTGCATTGCTTGCAGTTGCCGAACATAGAAAAAGATATCTAGTACTAGTATTGCTATAGCTGCACTGCTTCTGTAGCCGCGAAGGCTACTATCTGCTATCTCAGGTCCATGTACTGCAACTGCAGCCGTGAAGTCTGACTTATCTAAATAACTGAAAAATCTTGGGGTAGTTTAGGGACGACAGAGCCAGCCTCTATACTAAAGCGAGCAATAACAACAAGAAAGATAAATTTCTTAATATATATATAGTACGGTTTAAATACTCTTAATTATCAAAACAACTGATTTATCGCATCAATCTTAATATATGAAAACAAACCTTCTATCATCTCTAGCCTATTGCTTTACATCTGAGCTCTAAACATATAATACTTACTAACAATCGTTAACAAACCTATATTTAATACGATATATATAACAAACAATAAAAGCTATAAAAGATAAACAAATTTAAATATATTCAACATGTGACCAAATGAATTATCTGATCTCGCAATAATGTATGCCTATCACTTCGTTGACAAGCTTCTAGTTATTTACAATTTACTTATAAAAAAATTATCTCGATATAACAAATACCTTAATAAAGCGAAATATTTTAAAGCATAACGAAACTTTGTATAATTTAATTGTAGTATAATTTTTTTTTTAATTGTTATCTTAAATTTGCATACGATGTTATTATACAAGCTGCTTTAGATAAGCAATTTAAAATTGTATATGATATTACATTGTATTTGGCTTTTAGTAACTTAATGCTTCATGTCTATTCTAGAATACTTTATTGAGAATTTAAAAGTCAAGACATTTTTTTTATAGTTTTATTTTAT